TTTGTATGCAGTCCTCCAAAAAACCAACAGCTCGTAGCCCAGCAGCATTTGCTATGCATAGGTTAAATGCTGATTGACTGACAAGTGTACCTGAAAAGGAACGGACACCAGCTTTGACTGTAAAGGGGAGAAGTGCAGGAAAAAATGTGAAGAAGATGAGAAGCACACTCGGTTTACTTTACTTTAGCGCTTTAGGTTTGGACTTTGCTCTTCTTGGCTGGTTCTAGAGATTTTTGATGCTGCCCCCTGGTGACAGTAAATAGTTAGCGCATGTGACTACAAAGCTCTGTGTAGGCTCATGGCCCAGCTGTACTGATGCCTTTAGATCTTTGGTTTAGAGAACTACAAGAAAACCATTGGCTTTAGTACTGCCGTAGTGCAGGAGATGAGCCACAGTTTTAAAAAAACATGGTGGAAACTGTGTGGGTGGCCACAAATCGGCATGTGTTGGGTCCTATGGTATGTGTTGTTTTTCAACCTCAGCCACTCATCTAATAATATAATATAATATAATAAAGACATGAAATGGGCTGTGAGCTCTGTGGTGAGGTCAAGACATTACCTTTAAAAAAAGATTATGAATTAAGAATATTAAAGGTGATCACATGATATCTAAGTCATTTATAGCTTAAATGTTAGTATGCTTCGAAATCTTGATCAGCTTTGCTATGACTTTCAAATCTTTTGTAGGATCCCTTGGTTCCAGTACCCTATCATCTATGATATCAGAGCTAGACCCAGAAAAATCTCCTCTTTGACTGGAAGCAAAGGTAACAAACATGGGGGGCTTTCTCACGCTCTCTCTGTCACTCACTCTCCATCTCGATTCTTTATTTGTTATTTGTGATAGTGATCTAGCTCGTGCTTGAGACAGCTGCTGATGAATGTATCGATGTGCCAGTATAATAACTGAGGCAAAAGATTTGTTTTAAGTTCAAAGTTACAAAGCCGAATATAACAAAACTTGTTGGAGAGGTGGCAAAGAAACCATTCAGTCATTTTTGGTGCGTGCATGTTTGTATGCAGATCTGCAGATGGTGAATATAGCAGTGCGGGTGTTGTCCAGACCCATGGCATCCAACTTGCCAGCCATGTACCAACAGCTGGGGAAGGACTACGATGAGAGAGTCCTCCCGTCTATTGTCAACGAGATCCTAAAGTCTGTGGTAGCAAAGTTCAATGCCTCCCAGCTCATCACACAGAGAGCACAGGTACTGCAGCACCTTCGCACTGCTGGGGGGGGGATTAATTTTTTTTCCTGTTGGCCAGTTACTGTAATCAGCATTGATAAGTTGATCCAGAACAGTAAATATAATAATCGGCTGATTCGACACACAGTGTAGATCATACTTGTGTTGGTGTGTATCGTTTAGGTGTCTCTGCTGGTGCGCAGGGAGCTATTTGAAAGGGCCAAAGACTTCAACATCATTCTCGATGATGTCGCCATTACTGAGCTGAGTTTCAGCAGCCAATACACTGCTGCTGTGGAAGCTAAGCAAGTTGGTAAGGCTCAGTATACCACAGTGTTATCAAACAGTGATTCAGACTGCTCCAGTCTGTCATTAGCATCACTGGAGCAACAAACAGCGAAAATGCTGTTGCCATGGTTTTCATTATTGTCTCTGAAGTAAATGTGGCTGCTTGGGTTGCATTGACCACGCCTGTTGTCTTAAAGTGTAACTGTGTGTGTGTTTAGCTCAGCAAGAGGCCCAGAGGGCCCAGTTCTATGTGGAGAAAGCCAAACAAGATCAGCGACAGAAGATCATCCAGGCTGAAGGAGAGGCTGAAGCTGCTAAAATGGTAAACAGACACTGACGTGGTCTCAGTGCAGTGTTAGCAGCAGTTATTACTGCACAACAAAATGCTGCTCTACTGTTTCTCTGAGAAGCTGTTACATGTCAGCCAAGAAATAAAGTTGTTCTCTATTACGGGAGTGTCTTTTCCGTGCAAACTGGAAGTAGGGATGTTGTACCTGAAACCTCTACGGTTTCACACATGTATGTAACCCGAGTCAGACAGCAAAACAAGTGCTGAGAATGAACTGTGACAAACGTAAATATCCATAGAGAACAATTAAAAGTAATCATTCTCTACCTTTCTTGTCATATTGTATGAATGTTGTTAATAATCTAAACACAAACTGTTTCCTTCAGCTCGGCCAAGCAGTGACTAAGAATCCTGGTTACCTGAAGCTGAGGAGAATCCGAGCGGCACAGAACATCGCTAAGACGGTCAGTACGCTCCTTCATTGCCTGCGGCTTCGTTTCTGTTTTGTCTTGACACTCAGTAAAATCCCAGAAATGCGTGCTCTGGCTTTTGAGTAATCAGCAGAATTCCTCCCCGAGGAGAAAATGTAGACTTTAACTCCCAACACTGGGAGGTGACTAATAATCGCTGTGTCTGCTTCCAGGTGGCATC